AGGGCTTTGCCTGCCTTCCTAGAGAAGGTACAGACTATCAGTGAGCCTGGGAGCCACGGCAGGCTTTCAAACCTCTGCTTTTCAGAAAGCACGCTGCATCAAGAATCTTGGAAATGTACACAAGAAGGTAGCCATTACAAACCAGAGAAAAGTTAGGAGATAATAGTAATAGCAAGGATAAGTAATATGTTAGGTAATGTTGGGGATGAAGAAAGACAGATACTGAGGTACAAAGGAAGGGTATAGTTACAGGACTTAGGACACAAACAGATGTCTTTGAGTGACAGAAAGAGGCCTTGCAGGGTCCGGACAAGGAATTCATAGAGCTAAGCCAAAGAGAGAGGAGGCTGAAATGTGTAGGAAACACCGAGTCTCAGAGGCACATGCAGCACAGCAGAAAGGTCTGAACTGGAGTCATGCCATGCAGAGTCACTGGCAGATATGTAATTAGAAGGTAATATGTTATTACAAGGGAGCTCTGGTAGAACTGTGGGTTAGGTGTTGGGCTTCTAACCAGAGGTGGCCAGTTCAAATCCATCAGCCACTCCTCAGAAAAAAAGATGAAGTTGTTTGTTCCTGTAAAGGAACAGAAACCCTAAACGGAGTCACTATGAGTTGGAATCAACTCGGGGCACTGGGTTTGGGTTTTGTTAGGGTATGCCACTATGCTCATGTCAAGGTTCTCACCCAGACCCTCTAACAGGCTCTGGAGTCACAAGAGGAGGAGATCCTTAGCAAACTCTCCTTTAAAGCACCAAAAGTGCAAGTCCAGGGAGGGACCGAAAGAGCTCAGTCAGAAAGACAGGAGAGCAAGGACAGAGTGATCATCACAGAAGTCAAAGGAGGGGCTTCTGGCTTCCAATTAGAGATGATTACCTTTTAGTGCACAGATGTACTGACAGCATTTAGAAACTCCCCTGGCTAATAAGACATCCTTGGTTGTTACAAATAGTTAAGTGCTTGGTTATTAACCCATAGACTGGTAGTTCAAATCTACCAAGAAGTACCTCAGAAGAAAGGCCTGGTAATCTACTTCTGAAAGACCCAAGCCTTTGGAATCACTAAGGAGCAAAGTACTTTCCCGATACATATGGGGTCACCATGAGTGTAACCAGCTCAACATCGAATGCACTGTCCAATGTTACTGAGTAACAGACAGAAACATAGGCTGTAATAGAATCTTCTTTTGACTCACATTAAAAGATAGTTGATGCATGAAAAAAGAATATAGAAATATATAGAACCAATTCTGGAAAAGAAATACCTGTAAACAATGAGTACACCAGATGTTATGTATACATAAAAATATGGCCAGTCTATTAATTCACTCAATGAATATTAATTGCATGATTATTATGTACCTGGTTCTGTCTTAGACACTGATGATCTTCAGAAGTATTGTAACCCCAGGATCTCCCATTAGATATGGGAATGACTAGGCAGTGAAGAAGTAAATCTCTGAATTATTTAAAATAATGTAATATATTAATAAACTGGCACACCTGGCAGCTTACAGTAAAATCCCTTTTTAATTAGCAAATTTCCTCCCTGCTAGAGCTACACCAGAGCTCATCAAAGATTAGGACGGGATTTGTTTGATCATTAATATAAATCTAGCATAGTGACTGGCAGGTAGGAAACCTCCAAGTACACACTGGCGGGCGCTGGGAGAAGGGAGGAAGAAAAGGAGAAGAATTACATGAACCAAAAGAAGCCTGGGACCAAATAGACATTTTCTTCTCCAGAGCAAAGGTTCATAAATTGTGGTCTGACTTTAAAACTAATGATTTGAAAGCACCTATGCAAGGCAGGAGGGGCCCCGGTGGCCTACTGGGTTATATGTTGGACTGGTAAACACAAGGTCAGCAGTTCAAACACACTAGCCACTCCTCCGCAGAAAGGCGAGGCTTTCTACTCCTGTAATAATTTACAATCTCAGAAACCCACAGGGGCAGTTCTACCCTGTCCTACAGAGTCAAGTCACTATGAGTTGGGCTCAACTCAATGGCAGTCAATTTGTTTTTAATAAATCATTTTATTGGGTCTCTTAGAACTCTTATAACAAACCATACATCAATTGTATCAAGCATATTTGTACAGAGTTGCCATCATCATTATCTATTTTACCTCCCTCCCCACCTTCCCACCCTTGTGAACCCTTGATAAATTTTAAATTATTATTATTTTCATATCTTACACCGTCTACTGTCGCCCTTCCCCCATGTTTCTGTTGTTCACACTCCCTGGAGGAGAGGGTGTTGTACACTATCATAGTTCATTTCCCTTCCCCCGCTTCTCCTTTTCTTTTTTGATGGAAAGCAAATGGCCCTGTATGATGACATGCAGATCTGCACTGAGAAATAGGACAGAGCTCTACGGCTGGATGGAAGAGTCAGTTCCAATAAACACACCTCTCACTTCAAAGTTCACGAACTCTGTTTCATAATAAAATAAAAACTATTTTTACTATAAAATTCATTGATGTATTTTAAAGAAAACTGGTTAAATATAAGAAAATAGAACTAAAACATTACCATAATCCCACCACCCAAATTTAACACCTATTGTTAACATTTTTTTTTCTGTTAAATTGGTACAAAATTTTAACATCCCTCTGGTGTGCCTTTCTATAATGTTCAAAGGATTTCACAAACAACTAAAGGGAAAAATAGGGTGATTCCATGTACAATTCAAGTTTCTACATTGTGCTTTAATATATGCACTCAGTAAATGCTCATTGAGTAACTCTGTAGAAAGAAAGGAGACAGTAAACTTTCATGTCCAGAACTTTGCTTCCTTGATTACTCCGTACTTATTACCAGCCACCCCCCCCAAGTGATGTTCTCCTGTCATTTACTACCCTGTACTTTAGGTTTGGCAATAATAAGGAGCTTGCTGAGGCGCCAGAGTGATATTGCTTCCTGCATATATGTGATCATATCATTTCCGTCTTCACTAAGCTTTGATTCATTGCTCACAACTCAGTCTACGTGTCATGTCCTTCGACAAGCCTGCCCCAACTGCTGTTGCTCATCCCAGGCTGGGGAGGTGCCTTCAAGGAACGGAATTCTGGGTTACCACAGGACCAAGTACAAATACCTAAGCATGCCACTGCCACAGTACATGGAATTAGCACTTATGTCTTTGTCTCCGTCCTTTAAGGCTTCTATCTTTATATTCACAACTGCTAGCACAGGTGCAAGTAGTACAGTTTGTTGCTCAGTCACTATCCAGTCGCTACAACATAGTCGAACTCACCCAGCAACTCTATGGAAGGGTTGGTGACAAGCTTCTGGAAAGATCACAGCCAACAAAACCAACGGGATCATTCTACTCTGTCACCTGAAGCCACTAAGAGTTTGAAAAGGCCGAGAAGCACCTAACAAGAGTAATAGCAGCCCAGTCAATCAATATTCTTGCTGCATACCATCGTCAATTGGCAAATTGTTGCCTTTGCACGATTTGGAGTGGTTTTCATTCTTTGTGCCAATTCCTCTCAAATCCCTGCTTATATCTCTCTTCCTCTACAAAGTTTTCCAACTAACCCAAAGCAAACTCCTAGACCAAACTCACTGACGTCAAGTCCCTTCCAACTTGCAGTGAGCCTGTGGGACAGGGTAGAGCTGCCTGCCCGTGCGTGGGTCTCTGAGACAGTCACTCTTTATGGCAGGAGAAAGCTTCGCCTTTCTCCTGAGAGCGACCGGTGGTTTCCAGTTGGTGACCTTGCATTTCACAGTCCAATGTGTAGCCATCAGGGCTCCTTCAACTACCTCTAGGTCATAGTGTTGCATTAGTTAGCGGCACCAAGAGTATTTTGGTCTTTAGTTGTCAGTTGTTCTTCAAGTGTCTCAAAAGGTATGTGTACTCTGGGATCACTGACATCAGGTATAAGGCTCTGTTCTGCCCTGCTGGGCTCAGTCTAGCAGCAGACTCATACAAATGAGTTCTTAAGAGGCGCTGTAAGACACAATATGTAAGACATAATATCTTACATATAAAAGGATTCAGTAAATATTGTCTGAGCTAAATAAAATTGAGTTGGCTGCTCATCGTCAATAAACTATTTAGGAGTGATGGTGAAATAAAGGAAAGGATACATTCAAATGATAATTAATGTTTCCGATTAGTAGTACTTCCCACAATCCTGTCCAGTTTAATACAAGAAGTCTTTTCATATGTATGGTAATGCTACTTCTGCTTTTCAACTTCCCCCATGCCAAATGCTCTTTGAGAGAAAAATCTAAGCAAACTAAAAAGTACACTAGAGAAAACCAAGTTTCACAAAAGACTCACTACTCATATTTGCCTATATAGCTGACATAATATTCTTTATACTGAGAGATTATTTCTGGCTTCCTACGTCAAGGATAGTGCCTTACATAATTTCTATAATAGGGCTTGCAAAATTTATGTACCTAGACCAGGGGTCCTCAAACTATGGCCCACGGGCCACATGCGGCCCACCAAGGACATTTATCCGGCCCGCCAGGTGTTTTTGCCCCGTTTGTTTTTTTACTTCAAAATAAGATATGTGCAGTGTGCATAAGAATTTGTTCATAGTTTTTTTAAAAAACTATAGTCCGGCCCTCTAACGGGTCTGAGGGACAGTGAACTGGCCCCTGTTTAAAAAGTTTGAGGCCCCTGAGTCCTCGACAATGTCGCAGAAGTAATCAATAAATGAACCCATCACAACAAGTGCGTATGACCATTCTATTCTGGCCCTTGACTAATGCAGTTTACCTTTTCTTTAATGTAATTTCTCTTAAACTACTGCATAAAAAACAACTTATGCACAATAGGACTTTGAATAACATTTTTGTCTGTAAGATTGCTATGAGGTGGAGTCAACTTGATAACAATGAGTTTGAGAATTGTTTTTATATTAATTTTTTATCATGTTACATGAACAAATTCCCTTCTAATATTTTTTAATCAAATTTTAAAAAATCTTGAGCAAATGAAAAACATAAACTTGATTACTATTTTGAACAATAACTTACAGGATCAGCAGGGCCACAGAATTCTCGAAATGTCTTTGGAGAATTATGTTGTTGAATCTCCATTGCTACACAGGGGCCAGAATACATTTCTGTTACCATCTCCTGTAATACAAAAAAGTCAAGATAACAATCTTTTATTCTTCCGTCTTTTAAATGGACCACCGTTCCATTAATCTCAACAGTCATTTTTGACTTCTTTCCCACATCTACAGGGCACACCAACTACTTCTCAGGTCCTATTTTGGTATCAAAAAAAAGGTATTTTTTAGATATGCTCCCTCATCTCCAGTCCTACCATTACTACCATTTTCATGCAATCTTTTACCACCTGGCACTTCCATTATTTGCAATTATCTTCCAGTACTCTTCCTATTAAGTCAGTCTTCACTTGTTGAGTCTATTCTGATTCATGGCAATCTTCTATGATTGCTTCCCAGGCAATACTTCTTCATGAAAGCAAACTGCCCACCTTTCTTCCTTACAGCACCTGGTGAGTCTGGACTACAGACCACTGGTGGGCAGCAAGCACTAATAGTAATTACCAGGGATCTTCTAACATACTGCAATCAAATTAACATTACTAAAACAGTAAATTAAAAAAGGTATTTCTCCTGAATAACTATTTTATAGTTATAGCTAGGAGAAATACGGCTAAATCTTCCCAATTTAAATAATTAAAAACTAGACAAAAATCTATAAAACAATTGCTTTCACACTGGAAGACAGGCAGGGGATGACTGTGGTCCCTGAGAGAAGGGAAACAAAGAAGGTTTGTTTCCTTGACTATCCTGTTTTACAGCCTAGAGCCAGTTTCCAGGTCATAGGATGGATAGAGGAAATGCAAACCATGCCTAATGGTCTGTCTCACTGAGTTGAAGCAACATAATGGAATTCAAAGAGGCTAATGCAGCTAGAATTTTCAAGACAGCATCCTGAAGAACAGCTTCCCAGAGCAAAAGTCTCAGAGATCTGCAGAGAGGTTCAAGGGTACTACAAAAACTTCATGGAAAAATGAAATTAAATGATGTTCACTCTCACACAACACTTTCTACTTTTCCTCTAGGTTCAGTAATTCACTGGATTGGCAACACAAAAATCAAAGACATTGCTCCCAACTATAGGGTTTATTTTGGAGTTTAGCAGGTTACATTATAGGTGGAAATGTTCAAGACAAAGTTATTCAACTAGGACATATTACACAGGTCTTTCAGGATTGCTAATAAATGCCCAAAGGGCACGCTACGATCAGCCTCAACTTAGACATTCAGCTCGAGCTCCAGTTCTGTGAGCCAGTGAATCCAGTTCCCTTAATAAAGTGCCGGGAGGTACCCCACTCCACAAGCCAGCCTCCTTCCCCCAAGCAGGTGGCTCTGCACGCTCTGTGGGCTGGAAAGCCATTCACTGTCTCAAGCTCTGGCTCCCAGTTCTGCGGCTGCTCCCCTGCCACTTGTCGGCTGTCACAGCTGTCTTCCCAGAACAAAGACATTCAAGAGCCAGATGGGGCCCTCCACTCTTGTCTCATGCTGGTAGCGAAATTCCCCCCTCCTGCTTCTGAGGGTTCATTTTATATGCAGTAAAATGACAATCAAAATGAATCCTGTTAACGAGAACTCATAACAGAATCCTAGTAGTATTAGCCTCCCCTTCTCCTACCCAGATCCACGGGGGAAAAGCTGTTTGGTGGAGTAGAGATTAAGGCTAGGTCAATATTAAATGATTCATTGCCCTACAAATGATCATGGAACTCCTCCAGTAATTTCTGAAGGTCATCACTGTATGAGAGGAAACTAACTAAAACCAGGAGAACTACCAGAAAGCTGTGAACAAAGCAATTCACAAAGAAAATACAAGTCTAACAAGAGATGGTGTTCCTACTAGTCAGCGTGGGAAGCCCTCCTAATACTTAAGGTGGATTCTCAGAAGCCAACACCATAGCAGCTGTTCTAAATTAGCATTAGATTAAAGGATGTTCTGTACTCATCCTAGGAAGGTTAAAAACAAACCTCCAAAAGCGCCGATGTAAACTGACTGAATGACAGAACCAAGGCAATCACTCTAAGGAATACATTATCATCGAGCATGTAAAACTATAACTTTCAGAATATCTAACATCAGGGTGAAAAATAACAAGCATGCAAAAGATGTGAACCCGAGGCA